GGGCTCACAATCTGACAATTCGGGGTAGACGATTTAGGACGGAGATGAGGAGGCATTTCTTCACCCAAAGATGGCTAGCTTGTGGAATTGTTTACCACAGGAAGTAGTTGATGCCAAAACATTGAATGTATTCAAGATGCGGTTAAATATAGCACTTGGGGTGAATGGGATCAAAGGCTATGGGGAGAAAGTAGCATTAAGCTACTGAGTTGGACCATCAGCCATGATTGTGATGAATGGTGGAGCAGGCTCGAAGGGCTGCGTTTCTATGTTTCTATGTAATAAAAATTATTTTCTTGTAAAGTACAAAAACCAAGTGAGTGTTTCCTTTTAAGAGTCTATCAGTCAGGAACTAAATCTCTCCATATTAGTGATGACTATAGGAATAATGGGGCTTGATTTCCGGTGTGCCACCTCTGTGAGTCATAATAGTATCCTTACACCCCAAGGACTACAGCAGTTCACAATGGCAGTTGACCATCACATTCTCCTGGGCAATTAGAATGGGTGATAAAATGCTGTCTTAATTAGCAACACACGCATCCTGAGAATGCATTTTTTAAAAAAAGTGCGAATTATGTGATTGCACCAACAGACTAAACTTCACCGTGAATGGAAATATCGCAGCTTGGGCTGACTCATAAACTATCAAGTTAGAAGTAACAACTATTTTGCATGATCTTTAAGTTCTCATTTAAATTGCAAACTGTGCGGGATAGATGAATGTAACCTTTTAGAATTAAGAGCTCCAGCCATAACACAATATGTAATCAATGGAAAACTTTCATCCCTGATGTCACCTGATGAAGGAGCAGTGCTCCAAAAGCTTGTGATTTCAAATAAACCCGTTGGACTATAACCTGGTGTTGAGTTACTTCTGACTTTGCCCACCACAGTTGAACATTGGCACCTCCACATCATTTCATCCCTGAACCAGTATAAATGCTCCTTCCTTGACCTCTGAAGAATAGTTAAAATAAATTCCCCGAGGTTAACAATTTTGACTTGTTACCTAGGCATCTGGGTTTACTCTTGCATGAATTGCACAAAACTGGTATGCAGGTACTGCAGTTAATAAGGAAGACACATGGAATTTTGGCATATATTGCTAAAGGAATAGAGTATAAAAGTAAGCGAGTGTTACTGAAACTGTACAAGGCCTGGTGTTTTGTCACATTTTGATTCCCTAACTTGAGGAGGCATGTAGTTACCTTGGAGACAGTTCACTAGATTGATTCCAGAGGTGAAGGGTTTGTCTTATGAAAAGAGAATGAGCAGTTTAGGCCTATACTCTCTGGGGTTTAGAAGAATGAGAGGAAATCTAATTGAGGTAAATAGAGTCATAGAGTCATACAAGGAAGCAAACCCTTCATACCTATTCAAGGGGATTGACAAAGTAGATGTTGAGAGGTTGCTTCCATTTGTGGGGCAATCTAGAACGAGAGGTCAAAGTTTCAAGGTAACAGATGACAGATTTAAAACAGATATAGAGTTAGTTCTCTCAAAGGATCGTGAATTTATGAAATTCACTCCCCGAGTCTGGTGGATGCCAGAACATGGCATAAATTTAAGGAGGAGATAGACGGATTTTTAATGGGTTGAAGGGTTATGGAGAGGAGGAGCGCATGTTGAGTTGAAGCTGAGATGGGATCAACTATGGTCAAATTAAATGGTGCAGCAGGCTCAAGGGGCTGAATGGACTACTCCTGCTCCTATTTTTTTGTATCTGCCCTGTTCACATTGAGTAAAACGTGTGGTATTAAGTTGAAAATTACCCCTGAACTCTTTTAGTAATATCTTTAAGGGGAAGCTAATAACCTGGTTATTTTATATAAGGTTTCTACAAGTAGAATTCCTACTATGTTCATGTGCCCCATTCAAAGACTTTGCAATTACATAGCATCTTTCACAGCTTCAGAATGGTGTAAAGCTTGTCACCATCAATTAAGTACTTTGGCAGTGTTGCAAAGTAGGAAATACAACAGTTTCTATGTGCACAGCAAAAACTCACAATTCGCCTGCAATCAGACCCCACCGCCTAAGAGATATTTCCTTCTCCACTCCCATCTGCTTTCTTTAGGGACCGCTTACTCTGTGACTCCCTCGTCCGCTCCACATTCCCCACCAATCCTTCCACCACACCTGGCACCTTTCCCTGCATGCGCAGGAAGTGCTACACGTATCCCTACACCTCCCCCTCACCTCCGTACAAGGCCTCAAGCAGTTATTCCAAATCTGACAGGGATTCACCTGTACATCTTCTAACCTGGTCTACTGCATCTGTTACTCCCGATGTGGTGTCCCCTACATCGGAGAGACAAAGCGCAGACTCAGAGACCGATTTGCGGAGCATCTGCGCTCGGTACGCTCCAATCAACAACACCTTCCTGTTGCCAGCCATTTCAACTCCCCCTCCCACTCCATTGGTGACATGTCCATCCTGGGTCTCCTCCATTGTCACAATGAGGCCACACATAAACTCTGTCTCAGGAGCTTACAGCCTAATGGCCTCAATATAGATTATACCAGCTCAAAATCTTCCCACTCCCGGCCTTCCCTCTCCTTGACCTGACACAACCTGTCCTCCTTCCTTCTCACCAAACCGCATTGACCAGTCTCTACAACCCCCTACCTGCATCTACCTATCACCATCCCACCTACCTTCCCCAGCCCCACCCCTCTCCCTCTGTTTATTTCTGAGCTCCCTTCCCCCTCCCCAGTTTTGTTGAAGGGTCCTGACCTGAAATGTTGGCTTTCCTGCTCCTCTGATGGTGTCTGACCTGCTGTGCTCCTCCAGCTCCACATTTTATCGACTCTGACGTTCAGCATCTGCAGTCCTTGCTTTCTCCTAACAGCAGTCTGTGGGGGGTCATTGCACACTTCATGGGCCATTTGGCCTCTTTCCGCACTGTCGGGTTTCTATGATTCTATGTTGGCTGAGAGGTGCATATTAGCTAAGCCATATGGCAGACTCCTTGACTCCCTCCACCCTGCTCTTTTTCAAAATAATATAGCGGGATCTATTGCTGAAGCTAGGGCAGAGATCAGAAAGATCACCGCAGAATTTCCAGAAGCAAGTCCCTTTCTTCTCTGCAACCTTGTATGATTACAGACGTGAGCTTATTTTACACTATCTTTAGCTGATCAAGGCTTCCATTCATTCAGTTATTGCTCAACTCAGTAAACAGATCCAGCTACCTCAATGATCATCAGTCTCGTTGTCATGACTTGTTTAGATATTTCATCAGTGAGAGTTGAACTGAAAATAAACAGGCTTATCAAGTTTTTCGTTTGATAAAACGTTGACATAACATTGGTGAAACATGATCACATTCTCCCCACAGGTCAGTTTGAACTAATTGTGCAAGAAACCTCTGTTGTTCTGTCATACTGTCCCTACCTCTGACCTCTGGTAGGCTGAGTTCAAGTTCCACCTACTGCAGAGGTGTGCCATGATCAGGTTGAATAGGAAATATCTAATCTTGCAAAACTTTATCAAAGTGACCTTGGAATGAGATCTGATCTGCAATCATAGTTATTTTTACACTTTATGCACAGTGGCTGGATATATAGTTGATGGACAAGAGGCAAAAATACATGACTTTTTTTTATTCTCTTTTGGAAGTGGGCATCACTGGATAGACCAGCATTTACTACCTATCCCGAGTTGCCTTTGAAAAGGTGAGGATGAGCTCCCTCCTTGAACCTCTGCAGTCCATTTGGTGAAGATAGGCCACACAACATAACATTTTTTTTATTTGGACACAGTTGGTAAATTTTCCATGAGAGGGATGTTTGAATGGTTTCATAGCAACAAGCTACAGCCTTGAAACAATTTTCAGCCACTTTTCTCTTTGCTTAAGAATTCACATTAGTTTTCTAATCAGTCACACTAAGCTGCACACTTAAATTCATAGATCATAGAATCCCTACAGCATGGAAACAGGCCTTTCGGCCTAACAAGTCCACATTGACATTTGGAGCATCCCACCCAGACCCATCCCCCTGTAACCCACCTAAGCTACATATCCCTGGACACTACGGGCAATTTAGCATGGCCAATCCACCTAGCCTGCACATCTTTGGACTGAATTATGACAACTATTCCTTGAACCTCTGCAATGGAAGACCAAGCACTGGTTAGGACAATGATAAACAGAGTATGATGTAGTCCTTTCGATAGGATGTGAGGACTTGTGGGATCTGTGGATTGTCTGTGATTGCTTATGGAAAACTTGAGTTTTGCTACAGTCAGACCAGTTAATATCACAGTAGGAAAATGCTGAAAATACTCAACAGGGTTTGGCAGTGACTTTGTGGAGAGAAATAGGTAGTGATTCAGCTTTGTGACCATTCATCAGATCCACTGAGTATGTCAGGTATTTTGGGAACAGAGGAAAATGAAAAGACCTTTGAGTCTGGTTCACCAGTCTGTAAGATTGTGGCGGATCTGGTTATTGTCCTAGCCTTGTTTTTCTCTCTGTCCCCACTCATAACTCTTGACTTTCTTGTCCATCAGAAATACATCAACTCAATATGTGTAAATGTTAAGGCCATGCCTCCATTACCTTCAAGGGAAGGAAATTCCACGGAAGACCTCGTGAGGGAAGAAAAAGTCCTCATCTCTGACTTAAAAGGGGTAGCTCTTATTTCAACATAATGTTCTCTATTTTTAGTATCCCCCTACAAAAAGAAACATCCACCTAGTATCACTGTCCAGTCCCCTGAAGAATTTGTGTTTCATTTGAGATTTGCAGTACTGACTGTGTTTTGCTTTAACCTCTTTGCTCTATTCATTAAAGTGTTGCATTATTATGCCTTAGGCACCAGATTTCCAAAACCTGAGCTTTAACTGCATACCAAATGTTGCAACATTCACAAGACACTGTGCAGTGTTACATCTTACTGTGGCATGGTGTTTAGAGTCAAACTTCACAAAGGTTGACAGGAGAGCTTGGGCGTTGTCAAGACACCAATGAAAGAATAAGACAAAAGACAAGTCACATGGTAATTGGTACATTTAATCTTCAGTTTGCTATGCACTGTGCCTTGAATACAATATAGAAACAGAAGCAGAAGCAACCCTCAACACAAGGCCAGCTCATGTCATGTCTCCTCATAAGGTGAAACCCACACATTACATCAAAAAATATCAAGACAGTCACACTTCGCTGGTAGACCACTCAACTTGTCAAAATGTGTCAGGTTTCAGAGGAAGTCAAACGTCAAGTACATCAATATGTCACATTTGCAGTAACGTTGTTGTACAGTATCCCCTGGCTGGAAGGCTGTTCTTAAATCAGCTTGCAAACCACCATGGCCTACCAAGAGAATGTCTGTATATCTCACTGACATTCTTACATCACCAGCTAACGTCAAAAGTGCACGAAGCTCTCTTCTTCAAATGAAAACACCACAACGCTATGTTGAACATGTTGCAAAGCCACATTTAGGAAACTTATTCATGTTGTGAATCCATCACAGCAAGATGTATAAGCAGTGAGCCAGCTTAAATATTGCATGTCTTCTTTCAGGGTCATTTAGCCAATGAAACCTAGTGGAGAAGGTTGTCTCTTGCACTTTGTGCAGCAAAACACAGAGGCTGTTTAAACTGGGTGTACGGTTTTGGTTACACACATGAAAGAGCTTACCTACTCCTGATGTTTGAAGAACATGACAGGTCTACATGTTTCCAATCTCCCAGCATTGCTAGGAATTAAAGATTAATCCCCAGGACAACCAGGGAGAAAAAAATAATTGAAAAAAAAGCTTTTGAAAATTCTGAGATAACAAGGTGTAGAGCTGGATGAACACAGCAGGCCAACCAGCATCAGAGGAGCAGGAAAGCTGACGATTCCGGTCTGGAGCCTTCATCCAGCTCTACAACTTGTTATCTCAGATTCTCCAGCATCGGCAGTTCCCACTATCTCTGAATCTCTTTTCAAAATTCTCTTTAGTTAAAGGAAATGGTAAGAAAACGGTTGATTGACTGGGCAGGGTGGTTGGAGGCAACATAAAGAAAGCTTAAGGAATAAATCAAACCTGAGTAGGCACCCCATCATCAGTCCAGCTTACATTCTGGTATGTTAATGGTGTCAAATACATAATCTAAACTATTACGATATCTTGTTCCAGCATCAACACAAAACAAACCTGTCATTGCCACATGAATTCCTTTCCCAATCTATATAATTCCCAGATTGCTGCTAATAATTCTTATCCAATTAAATTTTTATTCTGCTGTGTAATAATACTGTGACAAACATGCAGTAGATAGTATTATCATTTTTGGAAGCTCAGGTAGCTAAAAATGGCTCACAATGACTTCAATGGCTACTAGAGTTCTGTATACAGACAGCGATATCCCAAATTGCAATGCAGTGTAGAGGAAGATAAGAACTGAAAGCAAGAGCGAGAAGGAGAAAACAGAACTTGAGAAGGCGGTTGATAACAAAGTTAAAGAGAGGTCAAAGTGTCATGCTGTTGTACAGTACAGAAACAGACTCTTCAATCCAACTCGTCCATGACGATCAGATATCCTAAATTAATCTTGTCCCATTTACCAGCATTTCCTTTTGGGATTTCTAAAAACATTACCGTGGGACTGTAAAGATATCAGGCAACAGGTTTTTAGGAAAATCCTCTCCGTCACCAAGTCTGCCCATTTGTAACTTGCACCAAATCCCATTTCCCCATCTTCCCTGCTTGCCAAGACATGATCATTTCTGTTTTGATCATTAGAAATAGGATCAGAAATAGGCTATTTGGCCCCTCAAACATGCTCTGCTATTCAATAGAATCATAACAGATATGACTGTAACCTTAATGCCACCTTCCTGCATGGTCCCCTACAATGCTTGACTCATTTGTCAATCAACAATCTGTTAACTCAGCCTTGAATATATTCAATAAGCTGGCCTCCACTGCTCACTCTGGAAGAGAATTCCAAAGAGAAGACCATCTGAGAGAAAAAAATTCCTCCTCTTAAACACGAGACTCCTAATATTTAATCTGTGTTCCCTACTTCTAGATTTCACCATGAGAGGAAACATCCTCTCAATGTCAAACCAGTCAAACATCTTTAGAATTTTACATGTTTCAATAACATCACCTCTCATTCATCCAAACTTCTAAGAGCATATGCTCAACCTTTCCTCATAAGACAGCCTCTCCATCCTAGGAATCAGTCAAGTGAACATTCCCTGAACTATTTCTGAGTAGGTATATAAATATTTAAGGAAAGAGATTAAGGTGCAACCTCACCAGATCCTGTACAGCTAGTGTCTGCCAACTTTATGTTCTCACCCTCCCTTAGTTCTACAGCCTCCTCGAACCCTGTAACCCTCTGAAATTACCCGCATTCCATCAATTCTGGTCTTGTGTACCACTGCAATTTTGTTCACTCCATTGGTAGCTACTGTTTCAGATACACAGGACTTCAGCTCTGGAATTTTCTCTCGAGGCTCTCTGTTTAAGGCACTCTTTAAAAACCTACCGGAAGACAAAACTTTTGATTACCTATTCTAATATTTGGCAGAATTTGTTTAATGAAATCTTCTGTGGAGTACCAATGGATATTTTACTAAGTTAAAAGTGCTATAGTGATAGTAATGCAGTCTGGTTCTTTTTTTGTTTTAGCAGCTATGGAAATGACAGTAGAATAAAGAGAGCAAGAATCCAAACTATGCAGGAGAGGCAGTTTGTGCCTCCTGAGACCCGCTAGCAGAGGGAAAAGAGGCATTAGAAGTAGGAGCTAAAGCCATCAGTTGAAAGTACCACTACTGCATAATGGAACAGGATCGAGTGGCTGAATGGCCTGTAGCATCTTATGACAGAGGCCAAGGAACTCATACATGTGGCTGTTCGAGGGAGTTGGGGGGAGGTTGACATATGATGGGAGAGGCAGCTTTGGAAGCTTTGACTTGATAAAGGCAGGGATTAGGATTTTGGCATTAATAATTAGTGGCAATTGGTAATACTGAAGAAAACCATTTGAGCAATGGAACAAAATCTATCACATCCATTAAAGAATGAAAGAGAAAAAGCGCAAAATATGAACAATCACCAATTTTTAAAAAAGTGCTGAGAAAATGGAAGTGCAGATACACATTAATTTTCCAATCAAGTTGGTGAAAATTCTACACCATACGCCCACACGTTAGTCAAGGAAGTACAGCGGTACATTAAAATTCACTTAAACAAAGTTATTCTGAAATCACATTTTTCACGTACGCTGGTGGAAATTATTTTAAAAATGTATTCATCTCAACTTTCCAACATTGTCAGTGCTATCAGGAACCAACAAACTAAACACAACTTCATTATCAACAGAATTCTTGGAGCTGGAAGAAGTTGTAGCACAGTTGAGGCAAAGTACAATTTACAGATTTCAGGTGAGCCTTTAAAGGAGAGTAGGCTTGATGTCTTTAAGGCCCAATAGTAATCCAGTGATCTGAGTTGACACCATTGGATTAGAAGCTCTACAAAGACCAAGTGTTAATAGATTAATAAATCAATAGTGACATTGCATCAAGTTGACTCAGTGATGCCATGGCGACCAGAAATTGTTAACATGATGTGACTTGGTGATGCCAGTCGATAAGCTCAATGAATATTGGTAACTTTTGAAGACTCTAACTCTTGCTTTGGCTACTATTCTACTCTTTATGCAGTTTCTCTTTTGTAAATATAAAAATAATTTCTCATTAAGAGGCAACTGTTTGCAGAAAGTCTTGAATGACTGTTACAGCTCACACTCCCCTCGATTAACTCGAAGCAACAGAAACAGCTAGGTATAGGACAAGTTGGGAGGAATTATTCAGCTCATACTCCTTCTCTGCTTTTAAACACAAAACTGCTCATTGTGCTGCCAGTATTGCCCAGTTGGTGACGTCACATAAAATGTAAAGTCTCTTTTGTGTGCTGCAGGGACCTTAGATTGTTTGTCTTTTCACCACTGCTAATTCGAGTGCTCAAATTGCTCGGGGTGCAGCCCAGTTTGTTGCAGCCAGTATCCAGCACGATGATAACACACAGTTCAGGCTTCACTGAACATTTCAGGGGAATTTGAGGGGATTTCCAGCTGCATTAATACGTGAAGAAAAGCCATTTGTTGCTTCATGGAAGCCAGTGCCCATGGAGTTCACAAAGCTGCAATAAAAAAGACAAGAACTTTACCATCTGCAGGGAATATAACACTTAAAACAAAATAACATTAGAATTTATTCTTAACATACTTTTGAAGTATTGCCATTAGTTTAATTCTACTCTGTTAGCTAGCAGCATAAAGGGATATGGAGCTAAGCAGCTAATCTTTCTCGTGAAGAGAAAGAGATTGGTAAAGACAAATGTAGGTCCCCTAGAGACAGAAAAGAGGGAATGTTTAATAGGGGACAAAGGAACTGAATACATACTTTGGTTCTGTCTTCACAAAAGAGGACACAAATTGGATACCAGAATTGTTGGAGGATGCAAGACTTAGTGAGAAGGAAGAGCTGAGGGAGGTCAATATTAGTAGAGAAATGGCGCTGGAAAATTGTTGGTATTGAAGGCCAATAAAACCCCAGGGCCTGATAATCTACATCCCAGAGTACTTAAGGAAGTAGTTCTAGAAATAGTGGATGCATTGGTGATCATCTTCCTGGATTCTATAGACTCTGGAACAGTTCCTGCAGATTGGAGGGTGGCTAATGTCACTCTGATATTCAAAAAGGGAGGCAGATAGAAAACGGGAATTATAGACCAGTGAGCCTAACATTGGTAGTGGGGAAAATTCTTGAATCTATTGTCAAGGATTTCATAGCAGAGCATTTAGAAAACAGTAGCAGGATCAGACAGAGTCAGCATGGATTTATGAAGGGCAAATCATACTTGACAAATCTCTTGGAATTCTATGAAGATGTAACTAGCAGAGTTGACAAGGAGGAGCCAGTCGATATAGTATATTTGGACTTTCAGAAAGCATTTGACAAAGAGCCACATAAGAGATTATTGTGCAAGATTAAAGTGCACGGGATTGGGGTAAGTGTATTGAAATGGATAGGAAACTGGTTGGCAGAGAGGAAACAGAGAGCAGGAATTAATGGGTCATTTCCAAATTGGCAGGCAGTAACTAGTGGGGTACCACAGGGATCGGTGCTGGGACTAGTCACAATATATATTAATGATTTGGATGAGGGAATGAAATGTAACTTCTCCGAGTTTGCAGATGATACCAAGTTGGGTGGGAGGGTGAACTATGACGAGGATACAGAGATCCTTCAGCATGATCTCGACAGGTTGGGTGAGTGGGCAAGTCAATGGCAGATGCAGTATAATTTGGATAAATATGAGGTCATTCACTTTGGAAGCAAAAATTAGAAGGCAGATTACTACCTGAGTGGCTGTAAATTGGGAGAGGGGAGTGTGCAGCGGGACCTGGGTGTCCTTGTGCACCAGTTGCTGAAGGTAAGCTTGCAGGTGCAGCAGGTGGTAAAGAAGGTAAATGGTATGTTGGCCTTCGTTGCAAGAGGTTTCGAGTACAGGAACAGGGATGTGTTGTTGCAGTTATACAGGGCCTTAGTGAGACCACACCTGGAATATTGTGTGCAGTTTTGTTCTCCCTTTCTGAGGAAGGATGCTCTTGCTCTTGAGGGTGTGCAGCAAAGGTTTTCCAGGCTGATTCCGGGGATGGTGGGTCTGACATATGACGAGATATTAACTAGGTTGGGATTGTTTTCGTTAGAGTTGAGACGAATAAAGGGGGACCTCATAGAAACATAAAATTCTAACAGGACTGGACAGGGTAGATGCAGGGAGGATGTTCCTGATGGTGGGTACGTCTGGAACCAGGGGTCACAGTATGAGGATTCGGGGTAGACCATTTATGATGGAGATAAGAAACATTTCTTCACCCAAAGAGTGGTGAGCCTGTGGAATTCATTAGGACAGGGTGTAGTTGATGCCAAAACATTGAATGTGTTCAAGAGGTGACTAGATAGGGGAGGCAATGGCCGAGCGGTATTATCGCTGGAGACCCAGATAATGTTCTGGGTACCTGGGTTCGAAACCCGCCAAGGCAGATGGTGGAATTTGAATTCAATAAATATCTGGAATTAACAATCTAATGATGACCATGTCGATTGTTGGAAAAACCCATCTGGCTCACTAACGTCCTTTAGGGAAGGAAACTGCCATCCTTACCGGGTTTGTGACTCCAAACACATGACAATGTGGTTGACTCTTAACTGCCCTCTGGGCAAGTGGGACGGGCAATAAATGCTGCCTGGTCAGTGACGTTCTCATCCCATGAATGAATAAAGAAGAAAAGACCTTGGGGCAAACGGGATCAAAGGTTAAGGGGAGAAAGGAGGATTAGGCTATTGAGTTGGATGATCAGCCATGATTGTGAAGAATGGTGGAGAAGGGGCGAATGGTCTCCTTCTGCACCTATCTTCTATGTTTCTATGAATGGAGTTGAGGTGCAGTATGAACAATGGAGAAGGGGCTGAAACGTCTATTCTTGTTCCCATCAATTTGCAAAATATGAGAAAGGTTCTTAAGGATTATCCTCATAGCTATGTGCAAAACTGCAGCATGGCTGAAATTTCTTTAGGGGTCCTGACGCATTTCTGATTGATATCCAGCCCCCTACTCCAACTTTAAAATGCAGAGGGCTCACCATCATCACCATTTGCAAGAATTTGGAATGTGCTCCTAAGAGGAGAACTTGCGCCTGACTTGATAAAGTTAGGTAAAACCAAAAGGACTGCGGATGCTGTAAATCAGGAACAAAAACAGAAGTTACTGGAAAAGCCCAGCAGGTCTGGCAGCATCTGTGAAGGAAAAAACACAGTTAACATTTCGGGTCCGGTGACCCTTCCTCAGAACTGATGGTGGCTGGGAAAACGTCAGTTTATATGCAGAAAATAGGGAGGTGGGTGGGGTAGGGAGTAAACTATAGAGTAGAGCCTAAAGAGAGAGAAGAGCAGTTGGACAGACAAAGGAGTTGATAACGATCTGGTTGGGAGGGTGAATAGCTGTTAATGGGGACTGTTAGTGACTAACAATAGGTAGTGTATAATAGCAGGCTATGTGGTAACAAGGCCTGGTGTGTGGGGTGGGGGGCTGGGACAGGGGAGAGTTTAGGCCCTAAAATTATTGAACTCAATATTGAGTCCGGAGGGCTGTAGGGTCCCCAAGCGGAAAATGAGGTGTTGTTCTTCCAGCTTGCGTTGAGCTTTGCTGGAACACTGAAGCAAGCCAGAGACGGAAATGTTGGCCAGGGAATGGGGTGATGTGTTAAAGTGGCAGGCAACAGGTAGTTCAGGGTCTTTTTTGTGAGCAGAATGTAGATGTTCTGCTCCGTGAGGGCCTATTCCGGCCCCCACCCACAACTCTTTCTCCGATACACTGATCATATCATTGGTGCTGCTTCCCTCTCTCGCTGGAATTGGAAAACTTCATCGATTTCACCTCCAATTTTCACCCTGCCCTCACTTTCACCTGGTCTATCTCTGACTCCTCCCTTCCCTTCCTCAACATTTGTGTTTCCATTTCTTGGGATAGACTGCGCACTAATATCCACTATAAACCCACCGACTCCCACAGCTACCTGGATTATACATCCTCACACCCTGCTTCCTCACTTCCTTCACCCCCAACACCATCCAGAGCCCCACGGATCTTCCCCTGTAACCGGTGAAGGTGTAACACCTGCCCATTTACCTCCTCCCTCCCCAGTATCCAAGGGCCCAAACATACCTTCAAGGTGAAGCAAAACTTCACCTGCACTTCCCAGAATCTAGTCTACTGCTTTTGCTCCTCACAATGTGGTCTCCTCTATAGTAGGGAAACGAAGCGTAGACTGGGTGACTGCTTCATAGAACATCTATGCTCTGTTTGCTAAAAAAGGCCCTGAACTACCAGTTGCCTGCCATTTTAATGCACCAGCCTGTTCCCTGGCTAATATCTCTGTCTCTGGCTTGCTGCAGTGTTCCAGTGAAGCTCAATGCAAGCTCTGGAACACCTCATTTTCTCCTTGGGGACCCTGCAGCCCTCCAGATTCAATATCGAGTTCAATAATTTTAGGGCCTAAACTCTCCCATGTCCCAGACCCCACACACCAGGCCTTGTTATCACATTGCCTGCCATTACACACCACCTATTGTTAGTCACTAACAGTTCCCATTAACAACTACTCACCCTCCCAGACTGTTATCAACTCCTTTGTCTGTCCAACTGCTCTTCTCTCTCTTTAGGCTCTACTCTATAGTTTACTCCCTACCCCACCCACCTCCCTATTTTCTGCATATAAACTAACGTTTTCCCAGCCACCATCAGTTCTGAGGAAGGGTCACCGGACCCGAAATGTTAACTGTGTTTTTTCCTTCACAGATGCTGCCAGACCTGGTGAGCTTTTCCAGCAACTTTGTTTTTGTTCTTTATAAAGCTAGTGTTGTTATAGGTTGAAGTCAGATGTGGAGACATTTTTACTCAACTGTCTCAATTGGATCCCAACGTATCTCTGAATGCAGACTCGATGATAACTTTCTAAGGGAACTGGTTATAAATTTGAAAAGAAAAATAATGCAGAGTTCAGGGAAACAATGAGAAATTGGGACAAACTGTTAGTTCTTTCAGTTGAAATAGCCCACACATGACAAGCCTCCTTCCATGATTCTACACAGCTATGTGCCACACTGAAAGGTATATTTATTTACAGAATAATAGGAAAGAGTTTGATGCTTGGCAGTAGAATAAATCATTGAGCTAAGGCTGATGCTGAAATGTGGTAGCACAGTACCCCTCAAGCCCCAATGTACTAATGTTGCGATCATCCATTTACCAACATGGGTTGCAGGAAAAATATTGGCCGGGACAGCGCGCAGAAGCTGTATTCTCTTCTTTGTAACAGGGCCATCACAACTTTTACATTAACCTGGGAGGGAAGACTGAGCTTGGTTTGACATCTCAACCAAAAGGCAGTTAAAATATCTTTCTTTTAGCAGCCCAATGTCACTGCCACAGTACGGCAGCTGCAGCACTGGTGAGGATGCGGGATAAAACAATGGCCTATTAAACAGTGTGACAGTGTATGACATTAGTACCTGTCAACAAAAGAACTGGTCTTGTATATATACCCCCACTCACTGGATCATTACCGTTATTGGGAAGTACAGCTTAGACTTACCGTTCTCCCACTCCTTTATCACCCTTAGACTTCCGTTACCAGGAAGCTTTCACTGTAATGAGAAAATTGCAGGAGATTGGTGAACATCGTGAGCAATGCTTCAGTGCCAAATCTTAACCAATTTACTATTTGATAACTCATAGAGCCATACAGAACGGAAACAGGCCCTTCTGTTCAATCAGTCAATGCTGACCATGTTCCCAAACTAAACTAGTCCCAGCTGCCTGCACTTGGCCCATATCCCTGCAAATCTTTCCTAATCATGATCTTATCCAAATGTCTTTTAAACGTTGTAACTGTACCTGCATCCACCACTTCCTCTAGCAAAGTTGCCCCTCATGTCCTTTTTAAATCTTTCTCCTCTCACCTTAAATATATGCCCCCTTGTTTTGAACTCCCCCACCTTAGAGATAAGATCCTTGTCTTTCACCTTACCTATGCCCCTCTTGATTTTATAAACTTCTATAGGGTCATCTTGCAACCTCCTATGCTCCAGTGAAGAAAGTCCCACTCTTTCTAGTCTATTTTTATATCGCAAACCTTCCATGCCCAGCAACATCCTGGTAAATCTTTTCTGAACCGTTCCCAGTTTAACAATATCTTTCCTATTACAGGGCGACCAGAGCTGCACCCAGTACTCTGGAAGAGGCCTCACCAATGTCCTGTACAACCTCAATATGACATCCCACTTCTTCTACTCAAAGGTCTGAATAATTGAAGGCAAGTGTGCTGAATGCCTTCTTAACTATCCGTCTATCTGTGATGCAAATTTCATAGAATTATGTACCTGAACCCCTAGGTCTCTCTGTTCCATAACACCACACAGGGCCCTACCATTAAGTGCATTCTTCTTGCTGTTGTTTGTGTTCTCAAAATGCAATATCTCATTTTATCCAAATTAAACTCCATCTGCCACTCTTCCGTCCATTGACCCAATTGATCAAGATCTCTTTGTAATCTTAGGTAACCTTCTTCACTATAACACCAATTTTGATATCAATTGCAAACTTACTAACCACGCCTCCTACATTGTCATCCAAATCATTTATAAAAATCAAACAAAAATGGATCTAGTACCAATCCCTGTGGAACATCGCTGGTCACAACTTTTCAATCTGAAAAACAACCCTCCACCACCTCCCTCTGTTTCCTACTGTAAAGCCGATTTTGTATCTAACTGGCAAGCTCACCCTGAATCCCAAGTGATGTAACTTTACTAATTGGTCTACTCCGTTTGCTAGCCCTCTCCCAGTGAATGTTAATCATTTACAAAACGTGCTTAACTGTAAGACCATCATCGATAGAAGCACAAGTAGACCATTCAGCCCATCAAGTCTACTGCACCATTCAATGAGATCATAGCCAATCTGATAATCCTTAACTCCACTTTCCTACCTTTTCCCCATAACTGTTGATTCCCTTATTAAGAATCTGTCTAGCTCAGCCTTGTACATTTTGAATGATACCAGGCCCGATAGCCCTTTGTGGTAAAGAATTTGATAGAATCACAATGCACTGAGAGAAGAAATTCCTCCTCTCACTATCTTAAATGTATGATTCTTTCTTCTGAGATTATACCCTCCAGTGCTAGACTCTTCCACAAGGGAAACTATTCCACATCTTCCCTCAGAATGTTTCAATAAGGTTGTCTCATCTTTTCTATATTCCAATGAGTACAGGCCTAATCTACTCAACATCTCCTCATAAGACAGTGCAACCATTCCCTCTAATGCCTACATATCTTTCCTTAGATGAGGGGCCCAAAACTATTCTCAGATTCCAGTTGTGATCTCTCTAGTGCACTAAATTTTTTCTATCTTTATACTCCATTATATTTGAAATAAAACTGAACATTCCAATTGCCTTCCCTATTACCCCCTTAAAGTGGATGCTAGTTTTACATGATTAATGGATGAGGACTTCGAAATCCCTCTGTTCTGTACCTTTCTTCAGTCTTTCTTCATTTAAATAATATCCAGCTCCTCTATTCTTCCTGCCAAAGTACATTACCTCACATTTCCCTATGTTATATTCCATCTGCTAAGTTTTGCCCACTCACTTAACTTGTCTATTTCCCAATGCAGAGTCTATGTATCATCCTCACCACTTGCCTTCCAACTATTTTTGTGTCAATAACTACTGTACATTCACTTTCCTCTTCCAAGTCACTCATATTGTAAATAATTGCGGCCCCATCACTGATCCCTGGTCTACTTGTGCTCCTATCGCTGATGGTCTTACAGTTAAGCATGTTTTGTAAATGATTAACATTCACTGGGAGAGGGCTAGCAAACTAGTCTTATTCACTAGTTACAAATTGCTATCCTAAAAATGTCTCCCTTATCCCAACTATTAGTCTTCAATTAGTTAGCTAATCCTCTATCCATGCTAATATGCTTTGAGAGAAGCCGCAAATACAATGGTCATCTTAATGTTCGTGGTACGATGGTGAGGAATTACCTACTTAAGAATAAACAAGTTTGTGGTTATGAACTATGAACTGTTGTTTATACAGGAAGAAGACTGTAACTTGCTGTGTTACTGTTTGGATAGCAGATAAAGGCTGTGTAACTGTATGAAATCATCAGTTTCACTGTAGGTAAATATTTCTGCCGAAGTTGATTAGCTTATTTGGCTAAATGGTAACGTCGACACAGAATAATATGAACAGTATACGTCATGTCTGGGAGTGATGCACAGCACCAATGACCTCATCTGCCTCATCATTTCTGGGGATAGGGGCATTACCATTGACCAGAAACAGACTGGGCCATCCATACTGTGACTACTAGAATGGATCTGAGGCTTGGTATTGTGCAGTAACGAATTCATCTCCTCACTCTCCAAAGCCTGTCCACTATGTACAAGGCACAAGTCAGGAGTGTGATGGAATACTCCCCACTTGTCTGGATTTGTGCAGCTCCAAAGACACTCAAAAAACTTGACATCATCCAGGACAAAGCAGACACTTAACTTGCACACCAGCCAGCACCTTCAACATTCACTCCCTCCACCATTGGCGCACTCATGTCTGCAGTGTGTCCTATCCATAAGATGCACTGCAATAACTTGCTAAGCCTCCTTTAACAGCACCCCTCAAACCTTTAACCCCTAACACCTAGAAGGACATGGGCAGGAAATGCAAGGGAACACCACCACTGGCAAGAGGTAGTAGGAACTGCCGATGCTGGAGTCTGAGATAACAAGGCGTGGAGCTGAAGGAACACAGCAGGCCAGGCAGCATCAGAGGAGCAGGAAAGCTGACGTTTTGGGTCTGGACCCCTTAGGATCCCGACCCGAAACATCAGCTTTCCTGCTCCTCTGATGTTGCCTAGCCTGCTGTGTTCCTCCAGCTCCACATCTTGTTACCACCACCGGCAAGTTCCCCTCCAAGTTGCCAATTATATAAGGGAACTCAAGACTGCAACTTGCAGCAGGACCTTCTAATATTTGTTCTAAGTTTTCATTCACTTTTCCTCAGATTATTAAATCAGAAGATAGCTTGCAGATTGGACCGAGTGACTATTATATTTTTCAATGGGAATTTCATGTCACAGCAAAGTTTTATTTCTATTTTATGCTAAGGATAAATTGCATTAAGAATTCACATTCAACCTGTACAGCCATTTAACCTGTTGCTATGGTGTAACATGTCATGCAGTCCTCAATGTAGAAGCTGAAGACTATATATGTGGCATTACTGCAGTGATGAAACATTTAAAAACTGCAGGATTACTGAATAGTGGTGGAGTTGTTGAAGTACTTGATATTAGATCCCTTATCCATGTTTTACTAAATTAAACTTGTAACTCCTAGTCCTAATCATGCTCATCTGGACCCCCTTCAGACTTTGCATCCTTTTACAATCTGCAGTCCTTCAGAATCCAGTTAGTTTGACATTGCCTATTCTACTAATTGGTTTCAATACCTGTGTATCCTGTGCCACAGCCCCTGACTTTTCAGCTTGGTTTTCTCACTAACCAAAGAAACCGCACGAATTTCTGGACAGTTTACAGCCTCTTTCTCTCTCACACAAATTCCTTTCACTTGAGACTACTTCACTCCTGACATGTGGATACATTTGCCTCAGGTACACACACACACACACAAAAATACATTAGCGTTATTATAGTAACCACGGCCTTAATCTTCCACAACTAATCAATTGGCCAGTAAGTAATATCAATTTAAGCGAAGACATTATGGTACAGTCCACTCAGGAAGTCCACATTGCTACAGCAATATGCAATTACACGTGACAATGAAAGGATATTGATATTGATTTTACTAAGGATTGCATATCATATAGTGGAGCAATGGATGGTGACATGACATTCCAATGTTCATTACACCACATGGGTAACCAGAAATTTCTCTTATCTGTGTGTTGGACACATTTGCAAGTTGACCATCAACCTGTTTGGCCATGTTATAAATCCCCCTATCCTTGACTGTCAAGTCCTGGAATGGGACTCGAACCTGAACCTTCTGCCGTAGAGGTAGGAACACTACCCACTGCAGCACCTGTCCTTGCGCTGACCTACCTATGGCGGGGCCAAAAAATGTGATGGCAAACAAAGTTACCCATTTTGTAAAATGCTCCTGCTCCACTGACATGCAAGCAGGAGAGTTCAGATGTAGATAAATCTATCAAAGCTAGTTGGTTAATGAATTTGTGGTAACTTCCAAGGAGGCAGAAACTTGGAGGAATGCGACTGAGAAGCAACTGATGAGAAGATAGGGCTAATGGGGACAGAGAGTTGACTCCTGGTCTCTGCGTTCTGCTGACAGAAGGGAAAGAGTAACCAGTTTGTTTCCTCATAAGCCGGAGGAAGGAAAGGCATGTGATATATTTTAAGGAAACTACAGAATTTAAAATTTTGGTCAAATTTTACCTGGCTGCTGAGTTACGGACTCGGAAGACTTCATTCCAGAACCCTTGCTTCAGCCTCTGGAACAAACAAAAACCAGATCAGGTTAAGTCTAGAAGTGGCACTGAGATAATTTTCTCATAGCATTTTGTGTCATTACTCCTCTCACATAACCATTCTCAGCCAGCTGAATTCTACAGATGGCATGGCATTGTTCCAATTCAAATACAGTTTTCCATAAATCATCTCACCATCATGACCCATAAATGATTTTTATGACCATCGATCCTGATGCTAATGCCCATTCAGTTTCTTTACAAGGGTGGCAGTCAATATGGCATTAATGATGATAGCCCTAACTAAAATACTGTCCCAGAATCCAAGAAACACAAATTTCTGGGAGAAATTCTGAAATCATCAAACCAAACGGCACATCTTTGATGCCTTTAATGAATATAAAGAAATACAAGACAATGTATAAAGGTGAGCTCATCAGCAAGCAGGTCTCCTGTCATGCCAAAGACAACAATGAACTACTTTTTTTAACACTTTTGTGGAATGTGGGTGCCATTAGCAAGGTCAACATCTGTTGTTCATCCTTAATTGCCCTTCCTATGAATGAAATGGCCAAGCAAACAAGAAGGCAATTGAGAGTCATCACATTGCAGTGTGTCTGGAGTCACATGTAGGCCAGACCTGCTGAGGGTGCTAGATTCCCTAAAGGAAAGTAGTGGTGATAGTCATCATAGTCACCACTACTGAGGCTAGCTTTCAATTCCAGACTTTTATACAGTCATACAGCATGGAAACAGAACCTTTGGTCCAACCAGTCCATGCCAATTATGTTCCCACCCTAAACTGCCTGAGCTTGGCCCCATATCCATCCAAACGTTTCCTATTCAAGAACTTAACCAAATGTGTTTGAAACGTTGTAACTGTTATCTCCATCCACCACCTCCTCTGGCAGTTCATTCCACACACAAGCCATTCTCTGTGCAAAAAGGTTGCCCCTCATGTCCTTTTTAAATTTTTCTCCTCTCACTTTAAAATTATGCCCCACAGTTTTGGACACCCCACCCTGGGGAAAAGACCCTTGCCATTCATCTTATCTGTGCCCCTCATTGATTTTATAAATCTTTGGTTTTCATTGAGTCTAAATTTCACCAATTGCTGTAGTGAGACGTGAACCCATGTTCCCAGAGCATTATTCTGAGCTTCAACATGATTAGTTTAGTGACTTTGACGTTACACTACTGTCTCCCTTCACTAATGCCTCTGAGAAGTTGGTGCAACAGGATTAGGCCACTGCCTTCACTCGTTCATTGATGTAGGTCCTTCTGGCTGGCTCTGCACTTTTTGCCCATCTCTAATGTTGCTTGAGAAGGCGATGGTGAGCCACTTTCTTGAATGTAACCAAGTGGCTAACTCGGCAGCCAGAGTCAACCATGTTATTCAGGGTTGGGAGTCACTTGTAGACTAGATCGAGTAATAACAGCAGGTTTCTTCCCCTAAACGGCATTATTGATCGAATCCTTACAGTGTGGAAACAGGCCATTTGGCCCAACAAGTCCACACCAACTTTCCGAAGACCATCCCACCCAGACTCAACCCCCTCCCCTATCTCTGTAACCCTGCATTTCCCACGGCTAATCCACCTAACCTACCCATGCCTGGACCCTATGGGCAACTTAGCATGGCCAATCCACCTAAGCTGCATTTGCTTGGACTTTGGGAGGAAACCAAAGCACCTGGAGGAAACCCGTGCAAATACAAGGAGAATGTACAAACTCCCCACAGACTGTCGCTCGAGGCTGGAAATTGAACCAGGGTCCCTGGCACTGTGAGGCAGCAGTGCTAACCACTGAGCCACCAGAATGACATGGACATTTTACAAAAACTTGTTAGGTTCACATTGACCATTATTGCTATTAGCTTTCTTTGAATGGAATCAAAATTGCCCAACTGCAGTGGAATTTGACCTCATATCTCCCGAAGATTAGCCTAAACACTAGTACCAACAATATTATCATTCCAGCAATCTACTTTGTCAAGCAGCGCCCTCTTATAGTTCAGCAGCCTAGAACACCCTTTGAAATACACAATCATATACAACTTCTGCTCCCTCACCACTGTTCATTTACCCACATTCAGCCTCTTTCTACTTATTTTGGGTAAGCTCAAATGATTTAGCTGCAAAAAATGCTGTGTAATCCTGATATTACTGAAGCAGTTTGATACCTTGGTTTACAGGGCCTGTTTGTTGCCAAGTGTATCGAAAAGTTGTGCCAGTGAAACATTCCAACCTACATCTGACTGCTGTATAGACTGTTTATTGGAGGAGACAGAGCTGAAAGCTTTAGAAGGGAATTTCCAGAAGGCCATAAGACTTGAAGCAGGATTAAGTCATTTGGCTCATCACACTGCTCTGCTACTTAATCATAGCTGATAAAGTTGCCATTTAAGACAGTTGATGACAAGTTGTCAACAACAGGACAGTAGAAATTGGGAACACGCAAGAGGCCAGAATGGTAGGAGCACTGGGATTGCAGAGGGTTGTAAAGCTTGAGGGGGTTACAGAGATCGGGAGAGGCAAGACCGCAGGGGGTATGGGGAATTTTAATCTGGGGTTTTGTTGAACTGGAAGACGATGCAAGTCAGCGGTCACAGCATCATTTGTAGGCAGGTATTAAGCTATCCGACTTCAACCAACGGACCACTACAGAAAATTCTGGAATGTCTGGAAGCTAGAGAAATTGTTGCTAGAGAATTAAGGGAACAAGATTGATAGGCTCGAGCTACTCTGAAGTGTAGCTGCAGATGTAGCCTCTGCCCTCAATCTCACTGCCTTGCTTGTCAAAACATGACACACTTTGGTGTTGGCTATGGAAATTCTAGCATGGTGCAGAACTTGCTGGCTGACTGATGTTTTTGTGAGTCATTAACGTACCTTTTCTGTCTGTGCGTGTGGGCCACACTCCAACCAAATAGGAACAACAAAAAAAGAGAGCAGAATATAGCCTATGACGACAACATCAGATTTTCTATACCCCGCACATCCTTCTATAAATACTGCTTTGAATTCGGACAACTACATTAGCCCCAGATTGGATCCCCACAGAAACCTAAGAGCAACTTGCATTTGCGTCTAAGTTAAAGTGCTTTAGGAGGGGTGGCCGAAAGCATGGCCAAGTAATGGGTTTAAGGATGATCTTATAAGTGGAGCAGGAGATAGAGAGGTCAAAGGGATTAGGGAGCAAATTTAACAGCGTATAGTCCAAAGTACAGTGGGCACTGGTGGAATGAAGGGAGCACGCATAAGCAGGTAGACTCAGGGCATTGAAATTCAGGTGAGTTTTTTAAGACTGGAGGAGGTTACAGAGATGCAAGGTCATGAGGGGATTTAAATATCAGGAGAATCATTTTATATTTGAGGAGTGAGGAAAATCAGATGCAATGTAGGCCACTGAGAAAGGACACTGTCCTATAAATTAGACAGTTAAGAAACTAAAATATATTAATAATGTCTAAGCTTGTGCAATTGACTGCTCAAGGATCAGCTGAGAAGTCACTTACATTTGATATGTCCCTTCTTGCTCTCCATGGCGACGTGTGTAACTGGGGTGAACAGGTGTCCTTACTGTCCACCATTGCTAGGACACAAATGATATCAAACGAACCTATTTCTCTTACTTATGGGGCATTTTTACACCTTTTTGGTCAGGTATATCCCAATCCCCCACCAGTTATTGTGGCATTGTGGTTATGACATTGGACAAGTGATCCAGCAGGCCCAAACTAATGCGCTGAGGAAATGGGTTCAAATCTGAACTTGAAACTTACTCTTAGAATTTGTGACCATGAAATGATGATTGACTGTTGTAGAAATCCATCTGGGAGTTCATTAATGTTGTGCAGTGAAGGACATCTGCTATCCTTAACTGGTCTAGCCTACAGACCCACAGCAATGTGACTGACACTTAACAATCTGAAATGCCCTAACAAAACAAGGGCAATTGGGGATGAGGCAACAAGACCAGTGGTCTTGCCAGTGACTTCCACATCCCATGAAAATAATAAATAAAAAATCCCCACAGAAGTCTAGACTGGAAATCTTCACTTGGACTGCACATCACAAAGAACTTTCCTCTACTTTATTTCCACACATTCCATTCATTTCTGCTTGGCTTCAGTTGATTTTCATTTACATGGAGGCCTACATTCCACCACACCCCTCATGCCTCATTTAACACTGGCCAGTGGAACATCCCCCTCACCCCATTTCGCAATGGTTTCAACCTGCTCTTAAATACCATTTAAGGTGTCTCTCCCAGTTTGGACTTTTGCTCCACATTCTGAAGGCAAACTCAGCTCCCCTGAGTTATTCGTTCTCTTCTCAGTCACGAAATGGAACCCAGTAGAAACTTAAGATGGAACATGCAGTCATGTTACCTGAGAAGTGAGGAGAACAACTTCTTACCTTTATCTTGAAATGTGAATGAACGAGTGCAGCGAGTGCGAGAACCAGTGCAACTGCAGTTCCTATGAATAGATATTGAAATATATGGGAGTTTGGGTGCTGCTCAAGTGGATTAACTGTTCCTGCTTTTCCAGTGGATCCCCTGATAGTCTGTGATGGAGACGTAGCAGAGATTGACGCAGGCAGCATATTAGGCACAGTACTTCCACCATTATTAGCCTCTGCTTGCATTAAGTTGACGCTGCTGTGATGTGGGTCATCAGTTGTGCTGCCAAATAATGTATCCTTTTTAGTAACAGTGTTTGCACTTTCATCTTCTGTGACTACACTGGTCACTGCAGACGTGGCTTCTATGCTGGGGATAAGCTTGTAACGAGTTACACTCTGTACAGGAGACATCAAGGAGCAGAAAGGTTCTGGCGTACTCGCATTATACAAAGGTTTTGTGGGAGAGTTTCTGTAAAAATAGCTTGAACTTGATCCATTGTGCAGGTCAATCAGGCAGCAATTTGAAGCAACAGCAATGTTGGAGGCTACGGGAATAAGCGAGTAAGTTAATTATTTGGAAGAATGTTTGCTTTAAGCCCCATATCCACTTTCTTAAGATGCCTTTCAGATTCTTTTCTGTCTAACTGGCTCATCCCTGTGATTAGCCCTTCACAGGACATCATCCACTTAGTAACACTGCGATAACTGCACAGATCATGGTCAAATCACTAGAAAGCACATCAACTGTCCAAATTTCAACAAACATTAACAGAAAGGAAATAATGTCAGTGAGACAGTAGCCATAAAGATTAGGAGCTGGGTAGAATAGCAGAATTTAGTCGATAATACTATAAAGGACAACATTGTAAAGACTGGGCCACGTACAATTGAAGAGACGGGGACTTTGGAGTAAAGGATGATTTTTTTTTCCCCTTTGTTATTTTACTGGATGCAAGTGTTATTGACAAGGCCAGCATTTGTTACCCATCCATAACAGCCCTGGAACTGAGCGCTTGCCAGGCCATTTTAGAGGGCAGTTAAGACTCAACCACATTGGTGTGGGTCTGGAGTCACATGTAGGCCAGAACAGGTGAGCACAGCAGGTTTCTTTTCCAAAGAGCATTTATGAACTGGAAGGGTATTTTTTTTAAACAACAATTGATGACAGCTGTCATGGTCACCATTACTGAGACTTACCCTATATTCCAGATTTAATAAATAAATTCAAATTTAACCAGCTGCAACATTGGGTTTTGAACCCATATCCCTAGAGCTAAGGTTTCTAGATTAATAATCCAGTGACATTAACACTTCACCACCATCTTCCCAATTTAGCCCATCAGGCCTGTTGCATGACTTAATGAGTTACTAGCCAATCTGCAAACTCACACCATAAGCCTGTCTTCGGCCATGTAATGTAATATTGGAAGTGAATACAGAATGTTATATAAGAGGCGAGATGGTCTGGGCTGAAGATTCTGCTCAAGTGGGCAATGTTTGGGAGGTAAGACTGCACAGAAAGTTCACAAAATGCATGATTAAACTTCAAAGGAAGGAAAGAAGTAGGCAGACATGGAATTGAGATAAACAAGTTAGTATTTTTGAAGTAAATCCAGGAGTTACTCGACTTTGGAAATAAAGTCATAGAGCAGACAAGTTAAAGAACAAAGATGAAAGTTACAAGGATGCGTGAAAAGTCTAGGTGTTTGGGATTAGCGGTAGTTTTTCAAAGGAAGGGTAATGAATTCTGTAGGGCTGTGAAATTCAATAGAATCCCAGTTACCTTTCAGGAAGGAAAGATAGCCCTCTGACTGCTCTGTGGCTTGTTTTACTGACTTGCACTGGTCAAATATGTATATATAGTGATCCAAGACAGCATGGAAGTAAGCAAACAGATCACTTTTACACCCTGTAACAACCTTCGTGTCTGGCATCAAGCATTGATGGGAGCTCTGTGAAACAAAACAAATGAAGGAAGTGTTTATTTCCAATTTTTAAACAAGTCATCTTCAAAATCCCAATGTATATAATACAACAAATATAAACAAGCCCAATTAAACACATTTATATTGGACACTTTCTAAACAATGATAACTGAATTGATTATTGAGTATTTCACACAATTCCAGCCCTTGTGACAAGCTGGTCAATAATTTGAGCTTCTATGCAACTCTCGCATTCACAGGCAGAAACTGTAGGGAAGACTAGGACATTAAATGATAGATTAGCCTCTCTCCTCTAAGTTCTATCTTCTCTCTCCATCAGCTCCTAAACCTTAGTTATTCTGTGATTCAACGACAGCAAAGCTGATTGTTGATCTAACTCCATATACCCAGCTACGTCCCATTCCTAGTCAGCAAATACCTATCAATCATAGGTTTAAAATGTGTTAATTTGTTAATAACCTTTGTGCATAGATGCAGTTCTTACCTTTACTCTTTGAAGAAAGCTATATCCCTGTGATAGTAAGGATGTTATGAAACTTGAAAGGGTTCAAAAAAGATTTTTAAAGATATTGCCAGAGTTGGAGGGTTTGAGCTATAGGAAGAGGCTGAATAGCTTGGGGCTATTTTCCCCTGGAGCATCGGAGGCTGAGGGGTGACCTTATAGAGGTTTATAAAATCATGAGGGGCATGGATAGGGTAAATAGATAAGGTCTTCTCCCTGGGGTGGGAGAGTCGGCATATGTTTAAGCTGAGAGGGTAAATGTATAACAGGGATCTAAGGCGCAACATTATTTAATGATGCCGACTGAAGGATAAATATTGGCAGGACACCAGGGATAATTCCTCTGTTCTTCATTGAAATAGTGCCACAGCATCTGGTACATTCATTCAGGGTCTCAGTTTGAAGCCTTATCTGTAGTACCTCTCACTGTATAATGCTCCCTCAGCTTTTTTGTGCTCAAGCCTTAGACTGGGACCTAAACCAAGGAGCATTCTGTTCAGAGGCAAAAGTGAGATTGACTGAGCTACAGCTAATACTCAAGCTTCATTCCCTATCTGTTCCTCTAAACCTTAGAACTTAGATCAAATCGCTCTTTAACCTTCAAGACTGTGGGAAATAGAATTTCAGTTTACATAATAAAAACCAAAAGAACTGTGGATGCTGTAAATCAGGAACATTTTACATAATCTCAGTTTACATAATCTCTCCTCATAATTTAACTTTAGATAGCCCAGTTATAAACATGGTAAATCCATATTACACTCCCTAAAAGGTCAACACATCCTCCCTAAAGTGCAGATTGCAGAAGTGTTTACGGTAACTCAGATATCTAAACAAATATCTTTGTATCATGGTAGTATTTTACCTTGTCAACTATTCTACATTACAGCTATCCTCCACTCCTAACTCCTCACATACATTTCTCAGTATTTCAAAATCTTTACTTGACTATTTCTGCAGTATTAACACTTTTCTCAGCTAAGCCTATTACTTCATGGATCATTTACATGTCTTACATTAGAATTTACACATATATAAATGTAAGCTTCACTTTGCCATTGACCAGTTGTTATATTACCGTGATTCTGAACTGGATAACAATCAGAAAATAGCTAATACCTCCCCTCCTTAAGATAGAGAGAGAAAGAGAAAGAAAATTCCCAGGGACAGGGAGAGAGAGAAACAGAGAGAGAGAAAGAGAGAGAGAGAGAGAGAGAGAGAGAAAGAACCGATGCTAGTGGCATTTGGCATCACTATGTGTTGCAAAGCAGCTGTCCAGTTAACGGACTTCCTCCACTATGCTTGTTTATGCTATATCAATAATCTGTGTGTAATGCTATCTTGTATACATGGAGTTCTTGTAAAACGGCAATAGCTTTACACTGACCAGAGCTTGGGAGCTATATCCCTGAGAGACTTGTATGGGTGTTTAGGTGGTGAGAATGTTGAATCTGTGCAACGTGGGCAACATGTATACTGTCACCGTAGCACACTAGCCTCTGTAAATAGTGGTGACTGCAATCCCCCAAGATATGGCCTCTCTGCAAACATTAGTCCTGCTGCTGCATAATGTAGGGGCTCCCTCTCTTGTAGCACTGCCAATAATGCAACTTCCTCTTCATACATGGATAATGCAGTAATGATTCTGCCCCCCCATGGGAACTCTCAGGTACTGAGAGGGGCTTGTGGTTCTCACTGGATTTGGCCAGCTCACTCGAATGATGAGGTACATCCCTACGCAAAAGCTGGTAGAAACTATCACATGATTTGACACGAGTACCTCAGTTGAATCCAATGGATCCTATTGAGGGATGGGAGCCTATCAACACAGCTATTCCTCTCATCGACAGGTCACTTAGATCCTGAGACTCGGTGGTAAAAGGTACAGACTACACTCGTACCCAAGGCAAACAAATGAAACATTGCAGTCAGGCACACTGAGAAAATAAATTCTTTCTCCTGAATGCATTGTATACATTGACTGTCAGAAACAGAACTTGAATAGTGTGGCAGAAAAACACAGGCAGGCTTGCAGCAAATGCAATAATGATTGAGCATAGTGTATTGCAATAGGGGCTACAGATCATGCAAGTCTACAAAGTTTTTAACATCAAAGTTCTCTCAAAACAATGATTGATGCATTATCTTTCCTGACTGCTCTCCATGAAGGTGCAGAGCTGGATGAACACAGCAGGCCAAGCAGCATCATAGGAGCAAAAAGGCTGACGTTTCGGGCCTAGCCCCTTCATCAGAAA